ACAAACATATATTTCTTTCAGTGTAGCATAAAAAACTTTACGATAAGTGTTGCGGAAGATCATCATTAAAAAATCCTCCATTGAGTAAAAGGATTTTTCCATTAAAAAAATGTTTAATTTACTTTTTACTTTCTTAGGCAGCTTGTTAAATACCTTAAGTATAGAATTTGGAACATTATTTTGTAAATAAGTGAAATTGAATTTATTTTTTGAATAATTTGATTTAAATCTTGTTTCATAACAATGGAAATTCCTAAATGCTTCAAACAGATCCAGGTTCTTTCTTTCATTGATTTCCTATTGTCATGTTTTAAGATATGCTTTAATTAAATACATCTCCTAAACAGCCCATGTCTTTATTAATGCATATCGATGACTTTTTGCCAAAGTATCGCAAGCAACATAAGTTAAATTTCGGGAAAAACATTTTTTGTTTTAAAGTCTGTTTTAAACCATATATATATATAATTATAAGCTATTTACTTGTTATAAAACCTTTAGGTTGTATATGGTTTAAACAGACTTTATAGACAGACTAGCACAGTATAGAAAGAACAGTACACTACAGTTTTCGCTATCCATCTATCCCTATAATTTCGCATAAATTGTCCCCTATTAGCGTGCGATAGGTTTTCTATTTTCCATTCAAATTACACGCACGCCCATTTATCTAGCCGCGTCGAGAGGACAATTGAGCGGGACGCAACAATTGATTGAAAATTTGAATACGAACTCGACACGCGTCGGCACTTTACAAAAGGAGCATAGTTAAAAATAAAAACGCGTGATGGCTTAACATGAAAGAGTGGAAACACTGCAGATTTAAATTGAAAATGATCTGCAAAAAAAATCTTAAAAATACTTTGACGATATTCATATTCTGGACTTCTCTTCAAAGTATGCCAAAATCACTTTTTCAGACCAACATTTTTAGATCACACTATCTCAAGCAACAAAGTTACTTCACAGTAAAAAAATATTTAATAATTTTTACCAAATATAAACCAGATTTTATTTTCATCCAGGTCAACAAACAAACTTACATACATACAGGTCCACATGTTAAGTTTATATATAAACTGGTTAAAATCAAAATCCTATATCAATAATACTTTCTTGTAACCTTTTTAAAGACCCAGTATTTGTTGAAAATTGGATATTTAAATGAAGAAGAATTTTGATAAGAAATGTTGCTATATTAATCAATTTCCTAAACAAAAAATAAACACATACTAACATAAATAAACACAAAAATAACATATACACAATTAATAACGAAATTTTGTACAATATAATTATCAGTACTACTACAACACTTACTGATGTATTTCATAAATTTAACCCACTTTACTGTATCCCCTAATTTCAGTTTAAAAACCAGTGATGGCATCTTTTTATTAAATTTATGTATAAGGAATCCGAATAACAATAATAACAGATTTCTGGTAATATATTATAAACACTCTGGACAGTTGTTACGAACAGGTTACGAATAAAGTAAGCAGAAACATAAGTTGCAGACAGTTGAACTTGTTGATGCGTATTGTCAGTGGGAAACGTTTTGATTGACTGCGTGAAATCACCTACTTTTTCAACGAAATAATTTGTTAAACATTAACAAAATAATCTTTAACATTTGAAATTAACAAAATGCTTACACAATTGCATATTACCTTTAGAAAACTTTCAGTAAAATATTTTTCTTTGTTAAAATAATTATAAGCCCTGGTTTTCTACAAATAATTATTTTTAAATTTTACAAAATAAAATTAAAAAACTACAAACTTGGGATTTTATAGATTTAGTAACGTAACAAATGCGCTGATTTAAATTAAAATTTGAAGCAGATATTTCATAATTTATAAAAATTAGAAAGTAAAATCTTACTTTTCCAGTGTATTAAAAACGCACTCACATTCATGTATTTAATGTTTTGCATACGTTAATCATGCGTTCCGGCGTTTAATTTTTATTAAAACAATTAAGCGCAACAAAAACAACGAATTAATAATGGAAAAAATGATAAACGTTCGAAATTCATTAGCCGTGTAAACTTGAAGCGGAAGAAACCCATGTATAGGGACACACACTAAATAATACACGACTAATTTGAACCAATTAGGGCCCCGAAACGCCGTCAGCATGCGATGAAATTCTTTTTCGAGAACCGTGCGGACTTCTTTTTTTTTCGGGAAACGTCAGCTGCTCCAAACTGCTGTCAAATGCTGAAACAAAAACGAAGCGGAAATCTATCATTACTTAACGAATAGGACACGTAAGGCTACAAGCGAAATGTGAATTTCATTGAAGTATTTTTTACAGTGTTTTTTTTCTTTAATTTTTTGACCCCTGTTATTGCCATAACGTATACGTATACCCTATATATAGGGTTTTAAAGTGTCGGAAAAATTGGGGAAAAACTGTTTTTTCCAGGCTTTGAAAAAATTGGCTTTTTTGGAAAAAAAATGTTTTTTAATATACACATTTTAAAAAAGTAGCAATCAATGTCTTAACACTATTTTAATTTAAAAAAATATCCTTTATTACAGAAAAACTAAATTGAATTAAATTGGTTTAAGAAAATAAAAGTAAACGATGGGTTTACTGTGTATCCAAATACAAAATAATGAATTAAAGTTAAATTACAAAATTATAATTTTATAAATCAAACTGTCAAATAAAACGAAAGTTTTTATGTCAATAAAGCACCGAATATGTTTTTTAAAAGAGTAGAATATTCTTACTGAATTAAAATAAAAGGAATAATTGTTATAATTATAATATTATATAATAAGCGTCGGAAATTCACTTTTTTCTCGATATCCGCGTACGGAAAAATTGAGTTTTGTATTTTTACCCTTTAAATAAAAGGAAAAAAATTCAAAAGTCAATTTTTCTGAAAATTTCACAATTTTTCCGTTTTTTCATGAAAAAACGGTTTTTTTCGTCGGCTCAATTTTTCCAGAAATTTTAAAACCCTAATAACGTATCAAAATACAAAAAAAAATCGGAAAAAATTGACTATCTATAGATAGCATATATGCATGGTTATATTTTTGCATGAATCTTTTCGGTCTCATTAGAAAAGCTTAACCACAACTTTGCGGGATTAAGGTAAAAAATTCTTAAAATTGTAAGTTTTAAAAGAAAATTTTGGGAACAAATAATGTCGTCCTATAGGAAATGATTTTCTTTTAAAGCTTACAATTTTAAGAAGTTTTTACCTTATGCATAAATTGTAGGGGACAATGGCTCCTACATTTTTTGTTTAATTTTTTTTCAAAACATAACTACCTACCGTTAACGCGTTTTTAATGTAAAATAAATCCAAAAACTTTTTTTAAGTTTTCACCAAAAACCTGTCCGAAACGGTATATCGTAGGAAAAAAGTTGATATGAATTTTATAGGTTTTTCGATTTAAACAACTTTTTTAATTACAGTTTTAGTAAAAAAAATTTGTTCGTGGTCAAAAAGCAATAAACCGGAGAAAATTCCCCCTACATTTTTTATTTACAAAATTTGTTTCCAAATAAACCGTTTTCGATATAAAAGAAACCCAAAAACTTTTTGAGTTTTCACTAGGGTTTTAAAATTCCTGGAAAAATTGAGCCATCGGAAAAAAACCGTTATTTTTCCGGGAAATTTTGAAAAAAAATTGACTTTTGCTTTTTTTTTCATTTTAGTCAAAGGGTAAAACGAAAAAAATTAAAAAGGCAATTTTTCTGACTGAACCCATTTGTTTTGCGACTCACCCCTGTAAAATCTTTATTTATTGTGCGATTTTTACCCGATTTGTTTTAAAGTGTAGATCTTGATAAACTGTATTTATGGAGCAAAAAACGCCATATTTTTACGAATTCATATTAGCGATTTTTTAAAACCAAATCTAAGCACGGCACTGGATTCACCACCCGTCAAAACGACCCTATACTAAATTTTATTGAAATATTTTAAGTAGAAAAATGCACAATAATACCTACAAAAATTTATTCTGTCAAGTTATCCATGAAAAAAACATTGAAATAAAATTAAACTAATAGTAACATAGTTAAGTTTAATTTGATTTCAATGTTTTTTTTCTTGGATAACTTGACAGAATAATTTTTTGTAGTTATTATTATGCATTTTTCTACTTCAAATTTAGTAAAAGGTCGTTTTGAGGCGTTGTGAATCCAGTGCAGTGCTTAGATTTTGTTTAAAAAAATGGATAACATGAATTCTTAAAAATTTACTCTTAAAAACTGACATAGTAGGCCTTGTACTTTGTTCAAATATGGTTTTCAGTTTTTTCCCCCGGAAAAATAACGGTTTTTTTCCGCTGGCTTAATTTTTCCAGGAATAAAGATTTTACAGGGGTGAGTCGCAAACAAATGGGTCACACTGTATGTACACTGGTATCAAGAAAAAAGTGAATTTTCGTCTCCGATAATAATCATATAATAAGTTAAAACTTAATATTGAATTAAATTGAATTGATTTAAGAAAATAAACGTACCTAAACCTTAAAAAAACGTAAAAAAGTAAAATTCATTGTTTTTTTCTGTAATACATTTATTATCCTTAAGGATATATTTTTTTAAATTTAAATAGGTTGTTGATTGCTTTGTATATTTTCAGAAAAAAATCAATTTTTCCCAAAAAGACATTTTTTTCAAAAACGGAAAAAACAGTTTTTTCGTTTTTTTTTTTCGACACCTTAAAAGCTTAGTTTTCACCAAAAACCAGTCCTGCTATAACTCCGAAACAGTAAATCGTAGGAAAAAAGTTGATTTTAATTTTGTGGGTTTTTTCGATAAGTTGTTTATATATAAACAACTTTTTTAATTACAGTTCTGCGTTAAAACCTATTTTTCGTGGTCAAAAAGCGATAAAACACTTTTTTGAGAACTTTAGCGCCACCTACTTTTTAAAATTTTCGTGCTAGAGCATCAATCCAATGACATAAATTGTCCCAATGCCCCCGAAGTTTTTTGTTAACAAAATTTTAAATATTTTTTAGATACATGACAACTGGCTGTAACTCCCTGAGGATAATCCTAACGAATTTCGGCAACATGATAAAAACGAACATGAAGTGTTCTGCAGGCAGCTTTGGAGTGGACATCCCGCGGGAGGAACGCTACCGAAAATGCAAAAAATGTCACGAATCGCTTTGCTTGGTGAGGCCAGTGGTTATGAAGAAAACATCCCTGCCCGGCGCCTTGGGGGGCACCTTCAGGGAAATTAACACGATACTGCAGGACGTGATGGACGTCTGACGAAAACCCAAATTTTCACTATTACAATTTAAGAACGCTAGCGTCTAATAGTTTTTGTATACCAAACAGCCATTACCAATCCACGGTGGGGCCAAGATTAACAAATATTGCGATATCTTCGAAATGGCTTATTTTGCAGAAAAAAGGTAAATATGAAAATTGTGGGGAATTTAATTTTTCATAAAAGATGTTATTACGAGTTTCTCCAAAAAATCACCAGAACACGAGATTTTTTATAAAAAGTGTTCTCATTATTTTAGTTTTTTTTTCGGAAAAATAGATATTTTCAAAGATATGTTCTCTTGGATCCACTTTGTATTATTTTACTACTAACGGGGTACTTAACTACATAATTTATTTTAAGGTAATTTAATTTGTTTTTAATTGATTTTAATGCATTAATTTAAACTCGGTGAAAACAGTAAGGGTGAATAGTGAGCAAAAGACTGAAAAAATATATTAGCACAAACACATAAAATTAAAAGATCTGATATTTTGGCCCTTGTTGTTATTACTTAGTTTGGTTGTTAATACTGATTTTATTAAATTTATTATATTATTTCGGCTTTTTTTTCATTTTTTTACTAATTTTCACTCATCTTACAAAAGGTAAGTTTCCCATTTTAAGGTAAGTTATCACACATTTTTTATTTTTTTTTGTTGCTTTTTCGTAGAAAAAAAAAACGATGATATTTTAGACTGTTTTTGCTGGTCTTAGTACTATTATTTTCGTGTATTAATTTATAATAAAATAACCAAAATAATATGCCAAACTTTTTTGTTTTTAGAACTAATTTTATTTTTAATCATTCTACTATACTTTTGACATGGTTTTTTAAAAATTAACATTTAATATATTAAATTTTAATTTTTAACATACATTGGTTAAAATATTTATTTCCTAACATTTTAAAATTATATTATGCTGCAATGCCATTTAATTATGCACGAGCGTAGCTTGCTTGCTTTAGTAACTTTTTTACAATTTTAACTCAAAGCCAACTTCAACACGAAGCAAATAAACCATTTTGGTTAAAGTTGGCTTTAAGTTAAAATTTGAAAAAAGTAAGATTAGAACCGTCTGTCAAATTTTATTTTATAAATTCTTCAGACACTCGTTTATTAAAAACTCGCTTTGCAAGCTAAGCTCGTGTTGTTGCATAATGTACTATAATTTTACCCTAATTTTGTTAATTTAAATAAATCGCTTTATATCATGTGATATAGGTAGTTTTTTGCATTGATAAAAATATGATATCAACTCAAAAATAATGGTAGAAAGTATTATAAGGTAAGACTAAACAAAGAAACCGTCCATTAGTATTTAATAAAATAGATAGAATATAAAAAGTAATAGTTTTCACGTGATTTTACATACTTTAGTAACAAAAATTTAAAAATATTTGTTTTTTTTGTCTTGTAAAGGTTTTGGTTTATTGTAACTTTCATTTTAAACGTTTTTTTAATAATTTGATTTATTACTTGCCTTTGTTGTGCCATTTATCTCTGTATCTACTTCCATAACATTGTAAAATAACTTGTAATAAAATTTATAATAAAAATTTTAAAATATTGTTTTGTATTTTTGTTTACTAATTTTAGAATCTAAACATGTTTGTTTGTGTTGTCTACTTAGCAAACGTAGCGTTATACAAAATTTGTATGGGCAGGGGCGTAGCGAATGTTCCGATTAAGGGAGAATATATTATAATAACGACTTTTTTAAAGATTTAGCCGACTTTTAAACCTTAAAAAGAATACGTAAGATCTTGATTGAATAATTATTCAAAATAAAAACCCCAATCATTAATATTTATTCGACTGCTTATAGCATTAAACACCCTGTATTTTCATAAACCACAGGTCATGAACAATTGTGGTAAAATGGAATAAAATCGTAAATAAAAATAAGAGATGTGCAGACATTTCGAATAAATTTGCGGTTTTGTAGTAAATTTAAACTTACAAGAATGTCTGTGAGAAAAATATCTACTTAATTTATACAGCTCTCTATCAGCATAATTCATCAAAACTGGCTGTTGATAAGATTTTTCCGAGCGTTTTAGTTTTTTAGGAACACGTGGTGGTAGGCGTGTGCCCTTTGTGTACTTTTTTAGCATCACAAAACTGGAGAACGAAAGAAGGGTAGTAAAAGTCATTAAAATCCTGATAATCCTTTGGTAATCGAGTGAGCGTTGCCAATCGATCATTTTTTATTTTAGGTAAAATTGATGTATCATTTTTTTATAAATCACAGTATTATGTCTTTCCATTGCAATAAAAGATGTATGCATACACATGTATGCATATACATGTATAACAAAATATAAATAATAAATTAATATCACATATGTAATACTCAGCGACGCTAAGTCATAGATCAATAAATAAAAATAAATAACTGAATACTAATCTAAATTAAAAATATCACAAAATGTCCATTTGGCAGTCGGGTGTTTCTTTAACTTTATCACATGTACATGATGTTGCATTACGAACATCGTGGCTGATAATAACATTTGAAAGTTGTAATCTAAAATACAATTTTACATATTCCGTTTTTGCTCTGCAAATCTCGCCTGGTGAACTGCAAAGTCCGGTACAGTCGCATTGATAAAGAACTGTGTATTCCGGTGATATTTCCTGAAATAATGAAAAGAATTATTAGGTTCTGAAAATCAATTTTTGGTTTAGGTGTTTTTAAATTTAACATTATTAAGATACTTACTCGTACATTTGTTTTTTCCTTTAGAATGGTTGAAGATTTTATTAATCTTGGCCTAGGAACACCGCACGTAAAATTGGTTAAATAGCTCTGATGTTCTCTAAATTTTTTATAATTCTCATTTACAGGAATGCACAGACAACCGTAAATCAAAACTGCCATTCCGAAAAAAATAAAATAAGTGGAATTCATAAAGATGATATTTTTTGTAGATGATTATTTTATTTGTTGCTTTCGATAGTGTTTAAGTCAATGTTAGATACAAATTGCTTAAGTCCATGACTTCTCCACTTTATAAATAATAATAAATAGATATTTTATTAATCCGCCGACGCAGTACGTTTACGCGTTTGCGGTCAAAAGTACCTTTAGGTTAACCGTAGGTATTTTTCCTTTTTTATGTAAAATATGTGTATTTTTCGTCAAGTCGAATTTACTAACTCTATGGTTAACCATAAATTTAGAATAGTAATACAATTTATATAAGTTGGGAATGTACAGTGACCGGCAAATGCGAGGGGTAAACCACATTAAAATCTTAGAGACCAACGTTCAATGTTAGTGGATGTTGTGTTGAGATTTTTTTCCTTATCAGTCGTTATCAATAAGATAAACTTGCTTAATCGGTGCTTAATCAGTGCTTAGCGACGCGTTGTACATGACTACCCTTGTTATTGTTATCCTTAGCCGTTAATTCGTAAGCGATTTTTAACTTTAAAAAATCAGTGGTTTACCCCTCGGGCAAATGTATGGAACAATTTCATTGAAAAGTTCGTTTTTTTCTCAAAAAAATGTATAAACTTTTTGTATGCATTTTACGAAAAAATGTTTAAAATAAAAATTAAATGATTCGATGGGGAAATCAATCAGTACTAAAATTGGTCCTCTTACTATCCTCCTTATAGGGGGAACAGGGGGTAACTTTAAAATTTCCAATGACACACCCTATTTTTTATTGCAATATATATAGCATGCTTATTCGGATCATTCGACTATATATAGGTAGATTTTTTCTAAAACATTTTTTCATATTTGTAATGGCGCTGTAATAAAAAAAAATATTTTGTTCAATTTTTCTTCTGTATACGATTCTGCAATAATTTTTCTATAAAAATATCACTTTTTTGGTAATAATAATCTTATTAAATTAAATATGATTTTTTAACTAATATTTAAGTTTCCTTTGGTTTAAGTATTATACATTCGGTGATAATTGGTCAATTCTCATATAACTTGTTCCGATGCTGTATCCACTTATTTTTGTGAAATCTAATTCTCGCTCAAGGTTTTTTTTAGTGTAATAAGCATGTAGCATTTCAAGGTAATGGGAACTTAAATTATGACAACCCTAATCTATTAATTTTTTCCTAAAATGCAGGCTTTATGTTGCAAATGTCACATAAGTTACCGGTCACCAACTGCAATATCCTAACATCGATGAATATTTCAACAAAATGGCCGTTCAAACAACTAATGTTAGTCCTTGATTAACTAAAAATAGACTTAAGATTGACAAAAAATTATGTTATCCGAAATCGGCAGTAAAGTAGTCAACAATCGTAAATTAAAATAAATCGGCAGTAAAGTTCTACTTTACTGCCGATTTCGGATAAAATAATTTTTCGTCAATCTTAATTAAGTCTATTTTTAGTTAATCAAGCACTAACATTAGTTGTTTCAACAGCCATTTTGTTAAAATATTCATCAATGTTAGGATATTGCAGTTGGTGACCGGTAACTTATGTGACATTTGCAACATAAAGCCTGCATTTTAGGAAAAAATTAATAGATTAGGGTTGTCATAATTTAAGTTCCCATTACCTTGAAATGCTACATGCTTATTACACTAAAAAAAACCTTGAGCGAGAATTAGTTTTCACAAAAATAAGTGGATACAGCATCGGAACAAGTTATATGAGAATTTACCAATTAACAATTTCGCACCATGGTCACTTTTTACTTGCCAGCATTAAATCCTTTAATTTAAAGGATTATTGTACTATTTTTAATAAAAATACCTCATTTAAGGTTAAAAAACATTATTTTGTCAATTAATTAATTTAATCCTAATTGAGGTATAAAAAACGGTATTTAGTAACTAAATTTTAGTTATAAATAACAATTATTATTGAGGTATAAAGAAACTATTTATAGTTTAGTTCGAAGATTAATTTGCAAACAAAAATACCTCCTTTCGTTAAGCAGTTATTCACAATGGATTTTTTAACAGTGAAAGAAAAAATAGAAATGATTTTAATTTATGGAGGAGCAGGCAGGAATCTTGATGATGCTGTTAATATCTACCCTCAGCGTTTTCCGGATAAAATTCGATCAAGTACTTCATTTCACCGTACAGTCAAGCAGTTTACTACAAACGGGAGTGTTCAACCGAAAAAAAGAGTTCGTCGAGCAACAGTCACAGGTGGAAATAATGAAATTAATGTATTAGCAGCAACAGCCGCTAATCCTCATGCAAGCACACGAGAATTATCTAGAGATTTGGGAATATTCCAGAGCAGTTTTAGCAGAATATTAAAACGAAATGCGAATTAATAAATGCATTGAAGTCCACCATTTTGAGCACCTACTTTAAATAAAATTTAAAAAATAAATAAATTTAAAAAATAAAACCAAGTATTTTATTCAAAAATTATTGGAGAATCTTATACAGAAGAAAAATCGAACAAAATTGATTTTTTTTATTATAATATTGTATACAAATATGAAAAAATGTTTTAGACGAAATCTACCTATTTTTAGTCGAATGATCCAAATCTGCAATAAAAAATAGGGTGTTCCATTGGAAATTTTAAAGTTACCCCCTGTTCCCCCTATAAGGGGGAGAGTATGAGGAATTTTTATTTTAAACATTTTTTTGTAAAATGTATATATACATAGTATACTAACTGACATACTGAGTTTCAAGTTAAATGACTCGCCCTGTATAAGTATAGGAGTAAATATTTGTTTTAAATTAAATATGGGCCATTTAACGGAAACACACTCTCTAAAAGTGAAAAAGTGAAATTTTCACTATTTCCGTCGGTGAGTTATTATTCACTGTAAAATTAGTGTTTTTCAATATAAATTAGTGAAATTTTAACTTCTCCAAATTAGTATTTTTTATTATCACTACTTTTTCGGAACTCTCGACGTAAAATAGTGAAATTTTAACTTTTTTGAACTAAACCTATTTCACTAATTTGTACAGTGTAATTTCCACTAAATAAATTAGTGCAAAGAAATCGCTACATGAAAAAGTGAGTATTCACTAATTGCTAGTGGTATACTTATCACTGCGGCAAATAGTTAATATATATATGCACTGTCAATCAGTGAAAATCCACTGTTTCATTTTTAGAGAGCAGAGAATTGAAGTTTTAATTCTCATAGGATGTGACAATGAAACTAGAACATAACAAGAAGTTTGCAATTTATTTAATGCTAAGGTTATTAAAATTGAACGGAAATTGAGAAACTGTGGTCCATGGACATATCAAAGATATTCCAAAACCGTCCGAGTATTAGTGAAGTCACTAAAATTGGCATTTTGTTACTTGTGGAAGAAGATCCTCACAGTGCTTATAGACTAGTCCCAGCTGAAAGTCAAGTCAGCCAACGCTCAGTATTACGTCTTATGAAGAAAGAAAAGTACCATCCAAGCAAAATGAGACTATAGTCTTCGTTAAGATTCTGCACTATAGTGCAGAATCTTAACGAAGATGATCCGGACCGTAGACTACAATTTTGTGAAACTATAATGAATGAATAATCCACACTTTCCTCGTTCAATACTTTTTTAGGACGAAGCTACCTTCTGTTCAAAATTGTAGGTAGGTACTGGAGCAGAAAAAATCCTCATTGGGTAGTAGATGCAAATTTCCAATACCGGCAAAAAGTGAATATCTTGGCAGGAATGGTGGAAAATCGGATCATAGGTCCTTTCTTCTTTGACAAAAATTCAAATTCGTTAAGAATGTCGCTTTTTAGTGCAGAAGTCATCCAAATCGTTCTCAGGGAATATTCGGATAGGCTTGCTTAAGGTAAAAACAATTTTTTTGAAAATAAATTTTTTTAAATTTAATTATATCCAAAAACTATCATCTCAAAAGGTATACATGTGCTTATTGTGCGGAATTAAAAATCAAAATTGACGTGTTCAAGGAATTTGGTGAATTTTGGTGAAAAAAAGGCACATTTTTCACTGTATTTATTGCCTAACGGGGAAAAATGTACGTGTATTAAAAAAAAACGTTTTTTTAATTAATGTATAAACAAAAAATCTACTATTCTTTTTTTGATTTCTGATATTGAATATTAATTAATAGTAAGATCCTCCTCATCGCAATTTTCCATTTTCACAGTCTATGAAAGAAATGTTATATTAAACTAACAAATGAATATACAGGGTGCTTCCGAATTCCATTCGAATAATTTACTGGGTGATTCTTCATCGAAAAATATGAAAAAAAGTTCCGAAGAAGATGGGATCCCCGGTATATAGTACTTTTTCATAATTTTAATGTTACATTTTATTCCGTAGTACAATATTTTATTTATATTTAGTGCCGGTGTCGGGCGAATTTTACATTTTGATGCGATTTTTTTATTTTAAATTAAACTCTAAAAATGACTAATTACTACTGTTATTATTGACCGCTTTTTTCACTTGTACCATGGTTAACCATGGGATGCCATGGTATCCCATAATTTAACAGCCAATTCTAATGTAAAATTGTCCCCTGAATCCGAAAATGTCAAAAGTTAAAAAAATAGAAAAGTTTTTAAGATATAGTCAATTTTCCATTTAATATGTAATGGTTAACCACAAGTGAAAAAGCAGTCACCAAGAACTGTAGTAATTAGTCATTTTTGACTAATTTATTTTTAGAGAGAAGATTTAATAATAATTTTTTTTTAATATTTTTTTCTACTCCTACCTTTAAAACGCCCATTATCGTACATGTTTCCATGACACTAAGTGACCTTTTAAATACACATTGACAAGTTGTGGCTTTATGGCCTTTTAGTCACGGGCTACAAGAGGTTTTTAGTCACAGGCTGAAGTAAGTTATAAGTTAGTTGACATGTCATACAATCGTTAAAATAAAGTGCCTTTCTTGTAAATATAAAATTTTTATTATCTTAATACAAAAGTATTA